ACAACTGTAACATGTGTTGTTCTCTATTTAACAAATGCTATTTTAATAGCACTCACACAAAAAAGATTTATTTAATACTTAATTTTAGTAAAAAGTATAAGAATTATTTTTTTCATTCTTTATTTCGAATGCAGATTTCAATGTTAGTATGTTGACATCAGTCTGGTTTTTTTTTTTATTTTACTGCAAATTGTGGCACCCTGAAACAAGGCTCGTCGTCATTATGATGGAATATTAAAGTCTACACGCTAGCATGTAACTAGTTGTAATAGACTCCACAACAAACGGATAATAATAACGTAAACTGAAGTAAATTCCAATATCTCATTAATTCTGTCATTGATTAAGAAATGGACACCTGTATATCTGATTATTGAGAACCTTGTTCGTTTATTTATTTTAAAATTAAATGTCATAAACAGCCTTTGAAATTGTCTGATGGTGACATTCAAAATAGTCTGATATAGTTCTCAACCCCATGGCGTTGACACATGACAGTTTCAGTTTTCTAGAAATTAATCATGATTGATTTGTAATACATTGAGAGTGGTACTGAAAATGGCAATTAAAATGTAATTTTATTTTCACGAAATTTCAACTTTAACACACTAGAAATTGTATTATAGTAGAGAACACCAAAAAGGGTTAAATTATAAGTTAAAGGTCAAAATCATTTAACTAAAATGTATTATGCCAAAATGAAATGTAGTTAAATGAAAATCAAACCAGTTTGAAAGTGCATTTGTTGAAATGTTAATCAGGCCGAAGTGAAGTTTGTTGAAATGTTAATCAGGTCAAAATTAAATTTGGTGAAATGTTAATCAAACCGAATTTAAATTTGTTGAAAGTTCCCTTTGGACTGATTAACATTTCAACAAATTTCAAAGTAAAATTTGTTAAAATGTTAGTCATGCCAAAGCCAAATTTGTTGAAATGTTAATCAGGCCAAAGTTGTATATTCTTTGATTCGCGTCCTCTTGGTATAAGGCTGTTAAAAAGAGTGATTTGGAAAATCTTTTAAAAATAGAAAATTTTTAAACCTCCTGAATATTCAAGAGATATTTGACATTGGACGTTAGGCAAACAACAACCAATCAAGATCTTTGGATTCTTAAAGGGAAATTTGAATATGTATGTCCCTTAAGCATTGGTTATTTGGTTTAAAATAAAAACATTCACTAGTGTATAGTTTGATAAATTATCTAATAATAATGGGTTTCGCTTCAAAACTTTTGGCATGCTAATTCTGTAAAGCTTTCTGTTCATTTTTTTAAATGTTTGGCTGCATAACTTGCTGGAAGGTACAATATATCAGTATTTAACGATGCAAAAATAATTCTCATCTTAAATATTTCGTTTCAACCTAATTTTAGAAATACAGATGGTGTCGTCTCTTTCTCTGTCTGTCTCAAAAAAGTGCTTTTATACCGTTACAATAAGTTACAATAAGTTAACGTTGCTACAATAAAACGAAAGAATAATGAATATAATTGAACATTGTGTGCAATAATTGCTTCTAAACGTTTATCATTTGCAAATTATTCTTGAATAAAACCGACTGACAAAATTTATAGCATTTTCAGGAAAACTGCTTTAGAATTTCATTATTATACAATTATGTATATGTAGTTGTTCGTGCATTTTTCATGAATATAATCAATGACAGTCACTAGTCTAAGAATTTATACGTAAATTATTTAGTCATTCATTATTTTTAAAAGATGTTTGTAATTATTCTGTTTGAAAGTTGAAATAACACAGATTTTGACTTTCGATGTGTCTCTTAGCTTAAAGGCTCTAACTAAATTATCTGGCATCTGGCGTTTAGTTCCGACTTTCATCCAATTTGATGTTCCGAATAATTTTTCCATTCAAGAAAATATTTTTTTTTGTACGCTCATATATCAATTACTACAATTCCCGCGGAAAAAGAAATAAAAGTTCATCGTAATATTGTAGCATTCCATGAAAACATCAATAAATCCCATAAGAATGCGGATATTCCCATATAAGTTTAACGATTCGTATATCTGTATACATTCATTCAACAAAAATATATAGGTAAAAGGTACAAGGTACAAGGTCGTCTCCGACCAAGCAGTATATGAATCTGATGTACTAAATGTATAAACATGCAGTCAGGTCTGGTCGGAATGGTAATTTAAAATCTGATGCTATACCTACTGATCATTATTTCTCCCCAGACCTTCTAAAACTAAACTAAAACAATGAAAAATAATACTGATGAAAGTTATAACAGATTTGTTGGTCCTCAATGCTCTTGAACTTCGTATTTTATTTCGCCTTTTTAACTTTTTTGATTCGAGCGTCACTGATGAGTCTTTTGTAGTCTCGCGTTCAAAATTATAATCCTGGTATCTACGATGAGTTTATAGTTCAACAGCAAAGTATACGTGAGTGTTTTACTCACTTAAATAATAATTCTCTCTACCGGTCGTCTGCTCGACGATTCTTAATGACCTAACAAGTATATTGTCGATATTGATAAAGGATCAACTGGGGAGTTCCTGAAACATCGAAAAAGTGTTATTGTCGATTATTTTTCTTGAGCTGCTGTACTTAACTGACAGCTGTGGCTGCTTGCCAACTTCCAGAAGTGGCAAAACAAATATTGACCATGAATTCCACATTATGTTATTTCTTTGAGTCAGGCTGTTTGTAGCTGGATTTTGTATGTTTTTAATCATGCTTTTATTACGACATTTGTTCTAGATAGGAAAATGGGATAGTTCGTGTATACGTAAAACTGGTTTAGTCCAAACACATTTTTTTGTTGTTACCAAGTCAGGTTATAAGGATCATGTATTGTTCCCTGTTGTTTATATTTGTTTATTCGGAGGAATTTGGTGTTGGTGGTTGGTGTGGTCTTTGGGACTGTCCAATATATTTTGGTAATTCCTGTTATTCTTTTTTAGTTCACCTAGCTCAAATGCCAAGTGAGCTATTCCCATCACTTGGTGTTCGTCGTCCGTCGTCGTTTTCATCCGTTAACTTTTACAAAACTCTTCTCTTCTGAAACTACGAGGCCAAATTGAACCAAACTTGGCCACAATCATGATTGGGTTATTTAGTTTAAAACATTTGTCCCACGATCCGCTTTCCAACCAACATGGCCGACATGTTTCTCGTTTTTTTATATAGATTATACCGTTGGTCATTTTGGGCCCTTTATAGCTTGCTGTTCGGTGTGAGCCAAGGCTCCGTGTTGAAAGCCGTACTTTGACCTATAATTGATAACTTTTTATACATTGTGACTTGGATGGAGAGTTGTCTCATTGGCACTCATACCACATCTTCTTATTTATATGCCTAATGATAGAGCATAGGGCTAAAACAGAAGTTTAGTTTAAATTATTATTGTACTTTATGAAACACAAAATGTATTTATATTTCATTTTACTAGTTAGTTCCATGCCTTAAATTGTAATCAGGTGCACATTTTGTCTGTACTTAGAGTTAGTGTTAGCATGTGGTGTTGACACGGTCGTGTTTGTCAATTCCTTCTGATAAACTTTAACCAATCAATTATTCAGCGTATATCAAATTTTTAAAGCTTGTCAAGTATATTCAAACGTAAACAATATCCCTTGTGTATAACATTAATCGATGGTGAACACGATCTAATCTATGATCATTTAAACTTAAAAGATCTAAATTTAAAATCATGTCTTAGCCGCTTATGGATAAAAGATACTAAAAAGGCAATCAAAACCGAATTCAAAGAAAAAAAGCCAGAAGCTCTACATGTAAAACTTTGATTCTACTCTTTCAGTTATTCGGAAATTACGATATCTGAATTCATGATTCAGGTCTACCTCGAGCCTGTATTAATATGACGTCTGAGAAGTTTTTTATCTACTGAGAATAGTAATAAAAGACATTTTAACGATAACACAATTTGAATACGTAAATGTTGGTGATTTTTATTACCACTTGTAAATTTATAAACATTGTGCATTAAAGTTTAAACACAATAAATTTCCTTCAAGTTTGCACGAAACTACGAATTTCGAATTTTGATAATACCAGGTTATACTGTTTTGCTAACGTTTGCCTTTTTCTCCATTCTCATTACAGTAATTTATTTACCATTGAGCTCTACGATTGCTTGTACAGATAAGAATAGATTGTGTCTTATCCTTTCGGAAGATCCAGATTAACTAACAGCTACTAGCCCCTTATTTTAAAAAGGAACTTATATTGCATACAATACACACATACTTGGTCGTCAAACTTAGATAAAAATATGTGTACTCGTAAAAAAAACTGGAAAAAATGCTCTTCCTGCTTCTAAATTCAAAACTCAAATACTTTTTGCATAATCTACATAATCTTCTGTTCTGTATCTGTTTGTTCGTGGCTTTTTTATCATCATTTATGGTAATTTGGAATATAGAATACCTAATGTTCTTTTTATGATGTATATCTAATTTCAATGGAATTAAAATACTTCAAATACATAATCTTATTGATTTTAAACTAGGAAAGCCGTTTTAGTATTGTGTTAAGTATCTTATTACTTCTTTTATATATAACTTACTTTTATTTCAATGATAGATTACTTTCACATCGGGCATTTAACTAGCATTAGTCTTTTCAATTTCTTTCTTGAAACAATCTGACAAGGAAACAGCTTAATACCGATTAAATTTGTTTTTAAGACATTGCTTTTTGACGCTGATTATGATATTGGGTTGTTGATTGGTAGAAATCAGAAAGATTTGAATTTGTAATTTTTTTTACCAATCAAGACATTTGATAATTTGCTGTTACATAAAGATATTATGCTTTTCATGTTTGAAAAAATTCTGTATGATTGATTTAATTGCTAGCATGTTGAAGTCTCTCCGTTTGCCATACTTTACAATTTAATACAATATGTATTGGAAGAAATAATACAATTGAGTTTTTGTCATTTGCAGTATTGGTAGGTTCTGTAATATGTGTTTGATGCTGTTAATCAGCATGATAAGCACTAAGACAGCTATCCATGAAAGCGAGGCAAGCTGTTAGACATAAATTAACAGAGGATCCACCCATAAGCATTCAATAGACAAGTTCGTCTATTCGTTTAAGACATTTTAACACAGTATAGTGACAGCATCGTGCAGCGATTTTCTAATACTTGCTGATTGTCCGATTTGATGCATAAGACTTGGTAAAATTTTGCAAGGTAGGACGATTCTTATTATTATGTTCTGTCCGTTTATGTTTTATTTAAACACTTAAAAAAGTTTTCTACGTGAAATTTACAAAAACTGTATTCAATGTTTTAGCATTTAAATAGACACTTAAAGCTATGTGTATATATATATAAATAGTTGCATGTATGTAAGCAAAATACTTAGTAAAAAAATTCTGTGAATTATTGACAATTTATATTTAATTTCTTCTGAAATACTTTAATCAAAGATCAGTCATGTTATTTAAATAGACACTCAATGCTTTATATACATATATATATATATATATATATATATATTTAGTTGCATTTACATAAGCAAAATACTTATTAAGAAATTTCTTTGAATTATTGACATAATTTATATATGATTTCTTCTGAAATACTTTAATCAAAGTATTTTTGATAGTCGCTGTCGCTCTTCATATACATGTCAATTTGTCTAAAGTTAATAAGTCACTAAATGTCGCTTATAATATCAGTATGTAAGTTGAATATTCTTGCTTTGATTTTCAGCGTTTTATTCATCAACCATAAACAAGCTATCATGATCAATTCATTAGCCAAGTTTAATCTCAGTAGACATAATCCTTCATTGTCGTATCTCACGATAAATTTATTGATAATTCCATAACTAGAAGTTTCGCTGTACGATGGACATATTTATAGAACGACCAATGTCTGCAGTAACAAATTGTCAAGGTCCTGGCTTCAACTTTAATAGGAAAATGTAATTCTAAACCCTTTTTCATGAAACTTTTTTTCAGATATATTTTACATAGCTTATTAAGTAATTGTAGTAAATGGATAAAGGCAGATTTTCATATAAAAAAGAAAACTTTTGGATTTTTGGTTTTTTTTTTTTAGATATGTTCTTCTGAAAGATTTTAGACCCAGTGAAATTCTTTTCTTGTTGTTTATAAAACCATTGCTTATGAAAGTTTTCTCATGTCGATAGTCGCTTAACCATGTAATCAAATAATACACATGATGTAATTGTATGTAGTCAGCAGACGACAGTTACAAAACCTTCGTGTTATATTAGACAGCAAAACTTTTAGAGCTTGCATGTTGTTAAAGAAAGCAGAAAAAAGACCGGTAAACAAGTTTTAAGACGATTGTCTTTCTAATGACAAAAATAGGCAACAGCAAATTGTTTACTAGTTAGATGGCAAAAAGTAGGTAACTATCATCCTCGTTATACTGTGAGTTACATGTACATGCATATGCTTGACAAAAGTATCTGTATTGTCCTGTATAAATTTACATAGAAATGACTTATGGTATTTTCCTCAAGAGTTTCCTGAATAAGGTACTGTCACACATCACCGATATGAGAAATACTTGTGAGCCGCGCCAATTTTTTCAGGTTGCGAAGACGTGTAAAAAGGAACATCGGTTGTTCAAAATATTCGTTTTTCTTTATACGTATTCTATGTCAAGTCTATTTGTTTTCGTTGTGTTTTTTAGAGATTTAAATCGCATATATACATGCTCTGTACTAATTTCGGATGTTTAAAAGTTTGGTTTATGGTGAAATCTATATATAATGCTGTTAAAAATCCTAATGTAATGTCAAGGCATCTTTGGATGTTTTTGTATTGAGGTTTTCGAAAACACACACATACACATGATTTTACTACATGACTCAAGTTACAAGGAGAACTAGTCCACTGTTGAAGTGATTGTTTTGTTTTTTACTATTCTCTTTATAGTCAAATTGGAGAGAACCAAAATCTCTGCATTGCAAATGCTCTTCTGGGTTAATCTTCAGTGAGAACTCTCTTTGTTCAAAATAAAACAAAATTTATAAATAAACGGTGAATAACAAAAAGGATCCTACTGATAAAGAACTGCGATTTGACTAATTCTTGTTACTTTTAAATGGATTCGCTTTGTCGGAGTTTTTAAATTATTCACTGCGGAATTGGCTGTTTCGTAGTTTCGAATTTTGCAAATAATATTGTTTACCCTTTTTCCAAGCTGATCTTTGTTGAATGCTAAGTTATTTTCACCATCGACCATTATTTGTATATTCGTAGAAGCCAGTGTATTGTACTGCCATTATTCAAATAATACATTTCGTATGTACAGTAAAGTTTCGGTTCATATATGTTATAATGATGAACTAAGGTTTTAATTTCTACTAGCAAAGATGAGTTCAGATGGTTTGTGTGTACTACTGCTCATTTAGTCTTTTTATAAATGCAATGGATAAAACAGGTAAAAAAATTCATCTATTTTGTTTTAAATCCGGTCATATCGACTAAATGATGAGTTAATATGATAAACTTATACGAGATTCGTTCAAGTAGTTGGTTCATTTTTCAAGCGCTTCATGAATGGATGAGATAGTGTATTACCGTGCAGATTTCATCTAATTGGAACTAAGTAACCAAGGAATATATTTCAATGAAACGGTACTGGATCTATGCATTACTAGACTCACAAAGAGTTCAGTGACAATTTTAATACATTCGTATAGTGGTGTTATATATTTGCACAGACACAGTTTGAACAAATGCCGAAGTCGATCGAGGTTTTAATCTAAGTTGGCCAAGATATGTTCTTAACTACATTTTACCAAAGATGTTTTATCTAAAATAACATATGCTCTGGTTTCCATTATCACATTTTTTTCTTCTTTTTAAAATTGTGCATTTTCGCATTTTTTAAAGAATCATTTTGAAGTAAAAGACATTCAGAAAACAACAAAACATAAACTTCGTTCATGTCGTAGTACGGTGCTAATATCTCAATGTTAAAAATCGTCAACAGTTTTTGCCTCCCATGGAGTTTCGCGCGAATTTTCAAGTTAATTCATGGGTGTTTAAGCTTCAACACCCGCGGATTTTTTTGGAAAATTATACGATTCAAGCAGATGAATTAGCATTCAATAACGATTGAACAAGTGTGAACCACTACTACATTTCCGGAAATAAAATATTCACGTATAACGCAACCGTTAAGCATGACGCAATAAGTTGAATTTGAAAAGACTTAGTGTTTGTTTCTATTTATGCTATTTTGATGATATTGAAAACGCGAATGTTTTTTTTACAGACAATTAGCATTGTAATATATTCTTCATAAATTTTGTAGTTTGGATCTGTTAAAGATGTTTGAATCGAGATATACTTATAAAGTATGTAGAAATTATCTTGCCAACCTGCAAGGAAACGTTTGAATTTGACATTCTTCTTTCATGTTAGTCTTTTTGTGAATAACACCAATTGTAAGTCATATAATAATACTCAAATTCAATATTCATTTTTCAATTGGCGAATTTAAAGTGCGAATGTACATTTAACATATTTAATATGAAGATAAAAATATCTTGGATTTTTTCATAATGACAAAATATAACGATTACAAATAAATATCTTCATCAATTGTACCTTAAAGCGTTAAAAAAAAGTTTTCACCTTATCTTTTATTAACGCAACATTTGTTCTGTGTACCATGATTTAAATAGTCTTTTTCATCATTTCGCTGTGTTCAAAGACTTGTATAAAACTAAATTAATTATCAATATTAATGTTGTAAATATAAATTAAAAAAACAACCATGAAAAAATTAGTAAATTGCTTATCAATATTTATACATGTTTGGAATAAACTATTTAAACACGGTGTTTCTTCTTTATTTTTTTCTATTTGATTTATTCATTGTAAATAAAGAATTGATGTTCCAATTCAAATTAATATTCATGCTTTGCGTTAACAATTTGTTCTTGCGTTATGTTGTTGAAAGTCTTTTTTTAGACAAAAGAGCAATTTTCTGTAACGTTTGTTAAGCCTCTAAAATAGGACATGCATGTAAAAACGTGAATGTTTTTCAACGTACATAAGTAATGTATGATAATAATACTATGATGGAGGACGTTTCATACAGTGTTACATAAAACTCATCTCATGGTTCTCTTTTTGGTATAGAAAATTACTTATTGTGACATAACGATTTAAATAGACTTTTATTATGTTTTCTTTCATTATCTGTACAAAGCACTGCATTAAAACATACGTAATACCAGAGTCATATAGATACAATGTATATCTGTTAGTACTACTTAAAGGTTAACGTTGTTGTACGCTTTAATTACTTCAATTCTACGTTTAACCGGAAGTATAACATCAGAACTTTGCTTTAACCATACAATAAATGTTTCGCAATCAACAATGTTCCGATTCTAAATACAACGTCTGTTTTCCTCTGAGTTACATTTTCCAGACTTTGTATTTATTAAATATTTGCATTTCTGATGTAATTAGTCTTATTATTTAGTTGATTTCGAAATTCTATGAAAATTGATACTCAGCAAAAATTACACTTTTACAGTAACTAGTTATAATTATACAAAACGTTTCGACATAATCAGAACTCAATTAACAAGCTATTGCCCCTAGCTTTAACATGTCAGAAAACCTTTGAGGAATAAAGATACTTTGACAGTTTATTAGCTCAATTTCCCTCTTTATGACCACCATTAGCGTTAGTTTTATCCCAGTATCGGACCGTGTAATTATAAATACAGTTTGGAAGCTGTTATATGGTTACAACTTCAGTTTATAGTTTCTTGGTTAATAGCAAAAATAAATTGGGTAATCGCAAAACAAACGCTAATATAAAAACTGTTGTATACATATGATATTGATAAAAATAAATATCGGAATATGTTGAAAAATTCTTTGATATAGTCATTTATTTTGGCTACATTAATGTTCCCTTTAATGGAAGCATAGGTTATATGACTGTTAAATTACATTTAAATGTGCACTCATTTAGTACACGATCGATCCTTCTTTCAGTTTGTTATTTATAAAAAGTGATTTTGGTTTTCAAAGTATCTGGGCGTGGTTCGGGAAGTACCAAGAGTACGGAAATATTCTTTAACTGATAATCGTCACAAAATTTACAGAATGACGATTGCGCTAAGTGTGGCATTGTTGTCCACATAATGGAATTTTATGCGACTGTCATACAAGTGATAG